ATAGGACAATTTAGCCAACGCAGACGTTCCTTTGAATCTTTTGCTTCTGAGCATACTTACCTATTCTGTTTAGTACGAATGTAGTGATTGATTAATTTTTAACCAATCACATATTTTTAATGTAAGATCGAGTTTTCCCGCGGTTTCGTGGGAGCCTACCTTTTTTTCCTTAAAAGGCGCGACTTTTCGCAAGTCGCCAGTAAGATCGCAGCTGTCAACACGAATTCACGATCTTGCTCAACGCACACATAGACACAGAATTTCGTAACTACAAACTTACATTCTCTCTCTGTAACTTTTGCCAAGTACAATCAACCAGAACTTTGTTGATTCAAACCAGTTTATTCACAACACATACCAAGCAATTGTATTCTTCGTGTTATTCATTCTTAACCTGCAAACTTTGCTCTAATAATTATTTCGGAACATTTATCACACAAGAGAACTTTCTTCGAACAATTAATTACAAATCAATCTACAATTAAAGAGGAACAACTTCTTTCTCTTAATCTACATAATGAATAACAAATCATTTCATGCTTCTTGTATTTTATTCAATATAATTTGTTGGAGTTGTTATTATTATTATTATTATTATTATTATTATTGGAGTTGTTGTTATTATTACTTGAATCCTGTACGTTGGAAGTATCGTTAATATAAACGTAGTGCCGCCACAATTGGTGCCCCTACAACCAAAACTTTTGTTAAAACACTATTTACGTTAACATATAAGTTAACGGTTTATTTCTGAAAAGTGAAAGGCTTTACGGACACATCCCTTTAAAACACCGGTACGATCACTTAGTTAATAACATCGAGCCTGATCAGTGCTTGGATGACCGTTTGGTGCTGTAAGCTTGGATGTGCGGATGGTGTAAATGGATTATAACTCGGAATTGTTAATCGGAGAGCAGAGTTCCAGTTCCAGTTTTGGTTCGTTACGCGCAAGTACTGTTATAAAATAAAATAAGATATCTCGGATGATTTACAGGCAAATACTCAAGAGCGAGAACCGGATGTAAACGGGACAAAGCCCCGTCACAAAATGACCATTATCTTTCTTTACAAATGTTCCCGACACACGTGTTCCAGTCGAAAAATAAAATAATATTTAAAGTGCTCTATTTTTCGTCCAATAAAAATGCTTCCCTCCTAATTATACTCGCTTCGTTTTTCGAGCCTGTTAAGCCATAAAAAAACGCTATAAAAGGGGTCACACGGAAGTTCAGTCAACAGGTGGACAAGAATAGGAAAGCGGCTAAGCGACATATAGCGTGCGTCACATTGCCGGATAAGCGGACCGTGACTACAAGCGCGGGCATATGCGAGGCCTTTCGGCTTTACTTTCAGGATCTTTTCACCAGGGAGCCCGGTCTGAGCTCTGCTCAGTTCGATGCCTATTTGGCTGACTTTCCCTGCCTTGAGGCAGCTGAAGCGGCTAGGTGCGAGGGTCCCATAACAGAGTCGGAAATCTGGGAAGCGCTGAAGCAGGTTGGCCTGGATAAGTCTCCGGGACTAGATGGACTTCCCTACGAAGTGTACTTGAGGCTGTCGCCCGTTTTTGTTCCTTTGCTGCAGCTGATTTACAACCACTGGATGAGGCAGGGGTCTTTACCTCGACGCTTCACCAGGGGTGTGATCAAGTTGTTGCGTAAGGACAAGAACGGTGGGGATGGGTTAGGGGAACTTTCGCCCTTTGACGATGTTAAATACTGACTTAAAGATTTTGGCGAAGATCTTAGCCAACCGTTTGCAGATTGTCCTGTCTCGTCTGATTGGCCCCGAACAGACTTGTGCTGTGAAGGGCAGGACGATTCAGGATAACCTTCATATGGTACGCTTGATCTTAGAACAAGTCGACAGTGAAGCCGCGCTGATCAATTTAGATCAGTCCAAGGCCTTCGATAGGGTTGACCATCGGTTTCTGGAGGCTGTCCTGTCGGCGGCCGGTTTCGGAGCCGACTTTCGCTCCTGGATCCGACTCTTGTATGCGACCCCCGGTGCGCTGGTGGAAGTGAATGGGGTAAGGTCGGAGCCTTTCGTATTGTCTCGCTCCATTCGTCAAGGTTGTCCACTATCGCCCTTGCTTTACGTTCTTGCGTTGGAACCATTCCTTCGCAAGTTAAAGGCGAATCCGGTCCTGCGCGGAATTACCCTGCCTGGCGCTACCACCTCGGCCAGGTATTCTGCCTATGCTGACGACGTTTCGGCTCTTGTGTCGAGCAGAGCCGAGATTGACGAAGTCAGCAAAGAAATAAGTGGGTATGAGATGGTGACAGGGGCCAAGATCAACCGTGATAAGTCTGTGGGCTTGCGGTTGGGTGCGTGAAGGGAGTTTCTCTTCCCGGACCTTTCCTCTGGACGGATGGGCCGATCAAGATACTCGGCGTCTGGTTCGGTCCTGATCTCCAGTTGGAAATGAACTGGTCGGAGGTACAAGGGAAGCCGAGATCGCGGTTAATCTGTGGTCTCGGAGGAGACTTTCCCTGAAGGGAAGGGCGGAAGTATGTGTTTCACACATCTATCCGATCCTCCTCTACCGACTCTCTGTGCTTCCACTCCCGTATGCCCGACTAATGTCATTAGTCAGGACCTTGTTCTCTTTCTTGTGGAGAGGCAAGGCCCCTATGGTATCTCGCGAGGTCTGTTGCCTCCATCCCTCTGAGGGCGGTCTGGGGATGCCTAGCATTGAGATCCGTCAATATATGCTTCGCATTACCTTTTTAGACCGAATGTGTCGTGGGTCGAATGAGGAGGGTGCCTTTTGGAAAGAAGACGTCCAGAAACATTTTCCATCCCTGAAAAGTGTGCACTCGTGCGAACAAGAGGCCGGCCGTATACCACGTGCCGAGTGCTCCTTTTATCGTGAATGTCGTCGCGCTCTGAAGCTCCTCTTACGGGATTCGGATGGTCTCTCCAACGCCCAGGCGTTGTCTCGCAAGGCATTATATCAAGTTTTAGTTAGGGGGTCCGTACAAGATGATCTGATTGGCGAGCTCGGTCTTACGAAGCAGGAGGCTCGCTCGATATGGCCTTGGGCGCCCGGGTTGAAATGTCTCAATAACGATGAGGCATCACTCACCTGGCTGGTGATTCGTGAAGCCCTCTGGGTCGGCAAGAGACTTTGTTCAGCAGGCTTGGAGAAATATCCAAACTGTCGTCGCTGTACGGGGAAGTCGAGACTATTGGTCACGCCTTCTTTCAGTGCAGGGCGGTAGTGCCGTTGTGCAAGTTTGTTGAAGGCCTCATGGTTCGCATGCTGCATAGAAAGTTTTTTGTCCTGGAAGCCAGTTCTGTTTGTAGCAATGTGGTGCCGCAGATGACGAAGGCTGAACACTATGTGTTCTGTTGCTTACTAGGGGTTATGAGAGTCGTGATTTGGACGACGCGTCAGAAGGGATTCCATGAGGGCGAGAAGTTCACTTCTTCCCAACTGATCTTGTTCTTTAGGCATCAGCTTAAAGTCAAGATCAGGACGGAAAAAGGCGGCTCACCTCATCGGAATTCAGCAAAAGGTGGGTGATTCTTGCGCGAATGTGCCGAGTAAAAGGGCTGACCTTGAGTGGCATCTGGATGCCGGTTAGGCATTAAGGATATTGTTTTCCTGGGTTGAACATAGGCAACCCATCCCGGAGTTAGGTTAGATTAGGTTTTTTTTTTTGTTTTTCTTTTAGTTTTTCTATTCTGGTAAACTTAGCTAGGGTGTATTTGCTCATTGGTCCTTTTATTTCTGTCCCCATTTTTTTTCCTTTAGTTTAACTCCCCAGCCCCTCCCTCGTTTTAGGTGGTCAGTGATGTCAGTTCTCTGGTAGATGCGGGGCGCTTTTTCGTTTTCGTGCGTGTGTTTTTCGTATTTGTTGTTGTGTATGAATGAGTGTGTGCCTGTGTGAATGCTTGGGATGAATGAGTGTGGCTTTATTTTTTCATAAGTCCCGCATCGATTTCGTCCGGTTAACTGATATTTCTGCCACATTCAATAGTTTGTGGGGGGGTTTTATTACTAACACTAATTTTATTTGGTTTCTTGTAAATATTATTTTGTCATTTTGTATATATTTCATTGGGGATCTTTTTAGAAGTTGTTGTTTTTTATGCCCCTCCCCCCACAGACAATATTTGTACATAAGGGGATTATTTAGGTTTTTTCATGGAGTCAAAGAGGCATTTTGGTGTATGTAGTAAGGAAGGTATGGTTAAATGTGTTGTTTTGGTGAAAGGAATATTGTTCAGTATGATAGGGTCAGTGGATGTGGCTAGCTAAGTTTTAATCTAAGACAAGTGATGACCGTCCTTCTACCCCAACCCCCTTTTCGGCCTTGTGCCACATTTGTACCTTAGTACAATAAATAATGTCAACAGGTGGACACAAAGGAGACCTGTCACGATCAGGCCGAGCGTTCAGCAGCTTTAGCGGGAGAGCACCAACCACCGTCAACATGTGTGAACTACTATGAGAGATCGACCTAGATCCGAAAGCCGGCTTATGAACTTTACCACAGGGTAGCTGTCCCAAACCCACACGTTCCTGTTGAAATAAACCACGTAAATCTATTTCTACTGTTGTCGTATTTCTTTCTTGCAACCATACGCTTGTCTATAACAGTACCTTTGGGATAAAAAAAAAAGATATGTATATCCACCTCTTCTTCCTCAACCTCAGCTACGTGTTAAATTTAATTAGTAAGACTTAAAACCATTCTAAAAATAAATAAATAAAATTGCGTACAAATTATATTTTTCGGCATTAAATAACCCAGAGAAGTTAATAAACGGCTAACTAAACAAAAACAACCAATCAACATGAAAAGTGAAACTACTTAGTCGACTCTAGTCTAGTCTATTCCCGGAAAAATTCGTTTCACTTTCTTATCAAAGCAAGCTGAAAGTTGTTGATTTGCAGTCTACACATCATTTCACACAAAATCAAAATGTCTATCAATGACAGTATCTCACGAAAAATTATTACTATCCTAAGACACAACACCAAGGGATTGAGCATGACTTATGGTAAGTTAACTCTACTAAACAAGACATATTTTTTTAAAAATGTTATCACGCAAATTTTACGTACTTCACTAATGTAAAAATATGAAATATGGTGACCTTGTAGTTTATCGCCCCAAGTTATTACGATTGCTGTATGACTATGAGCGAGTACTTTACACTAAGTAAAAAAAAATACCATAATAAAATTTAAATTGTATTTAATTTAAGTCAGTATCAATTTATTTTAAAAAGTTAAAACGATTCTTGACATTTTTTTTTAGTTATGGTCTGTTTTTTTGTGTACAAAAAAAAACAGACTTCTTTTTTAAAAAAAATATTGGTTTATGTTCGAACTTGAAATTTGTAAATTTCAAACTTTAGATAACTGTCTCGGTCCCGAATTTTCATTTTCAGTTGGCAACTTTTAGTATTTTTCACAGGAGGGACGTCACAGAATAAAAATTGGAGTGGATGCAAAATCGGATATTAAGTTTTTTTACTTTTAGATTCCTGATTATTTGATCCTAAAACAAACATTTTGTTTTGATTTTTTTTACAACATTCTTTTTTTTTCATTTCGTTTTTGTTTGTACTTATTTAGGTACGTCCACTCAATTTTCGATACCTAGGGTTTAAAAAGTGAATTTTTAAAAATGAAAAAGTATTCTTGAAGATTTGTTTTTTTTTAGCTTGTTGAAAGCTAAATGATTAAATTTACTATTTCCAGTAAGTAAAAGTGTCCAGTAAGTAAAAGTGCGATGAGGGGACCTATGCACTTTTTCCCCGCATCATAAGAAAGAGTAACATTAACTTTCTAAAACTAAGTTAACTAAAAAGTTAATATTTCGGTGTTGGGAGGGGAAGGAAAATGAAGCTTTGTCATTTATTTTGAAAATTAATAACAGTAACTAACATTTACTTACTATTATTAATTTACTAAGTAAATCAATAATGAATGATTGAATGTCGTTTGGCGAGAAAATCAGCATTTTTGTTATTTTTTATTTTTTATTTTTTTTACGAACCTCCTAATCCTACATTTTTTAATTTTTATTGTTAAAAGGAAAATGGGAAAGGCGAAAAACTGTTTTGTTTTGTTTGAGCAATCTCGAAGGACTAAAAAAAAATTGCATAATTTCTCCTCATCGGTAACCGAGTGGTGCTACGCACGAATAATGAGGTTATTTCTGCGCTAATAAATTAAAAAAAAAGTGACAGGTTTTGAGTATTTTGTTTGTTTTTAATGTTCACCCAATAAAAGCTCAAGGAGGTTATTGTGACATTGTGACTGTGTGTAGTTGTCTTTAGCGTAACTAAGCGTTAGGATTTATAATTGAAGTAAGGAAACGGAAACCCAATCATAAACTGGAAACAAAGGATAAAAACCTCTACTCCTGTTCGAAAGACCGGGGAGGAGTGTGAACGAGACGATAGGCAAAAACCTGTCTATTGGTATGTAACTGATCGATCCTAAAATAAGTTTAAGTGCGACACAAGATCATATTTGTAGAAATATATTGAATTGTTTATGCTTTTCTCCCAAAAAATCTAACTTGATTTGAAAATCTTCATTCACAATAACTTTTTTTTCTTTCGTACCGATGTGAAATACTAAATAAATACACAACAAAAGTAAAACTAATTTCAATTACAAAGCAGATTGAGTTATTTACTAAGTGTTAGAACACCTGTTATTGAATTATAGAGTGAAGCGCAGTTGTCTACGAATCAATAAGAGATGGCTGGGGCCAAAATAGGTGGTTGTCGCTGTAATGGGGAAAACTTTGTATTTCATTAAGATATCTCAAAAGTGTAAAAAAAAAAAAAAAAAAAAAAAAAAATTCACACACACACAAGGTATTGTAACCAAAAATAACTTCTTTTTTTTCTTTCAACTTTTTTTCTGAAATTCGTTATCTGAAGTGTTTTTAAAAACTTTTTTTTTATCAATTGATATATGAAAAAAACACTCCAGATAATATAAATTAATCTTTTTTTTTTTTTTGAAAAAATATTTTTTTTTAATATTTATTACCCCCCCCCACTAATTTTATGAAAACGCTAGAAATTCGATCGCGTCAGGTTTAGTGATTAGATTACAATAGTTAAAAGCACAAGGCTTTGAGAAATGCAAATCATCCTTTTTTTTTTGTTTTTCTTAAGTGTCCTTATGAGATAGATCTTTTTTTAGCACGTTGTAAATTGTATCGTTTTGACTAATCAGAAAACCCGCAGTAATTAAGAAATGTAATTTTGTGTTTATAATCAGGCCGTAATCATAAAATACTGAAGACCGACCAGAATAGAATTAAGTTGCGTCATTTGAATTAAGCTTTGTTCTCCGCTGTTAAGGCCTTTACTTTTGCGAAACACATGTGGAGAAGTTAATTTGATTTTTCAATTTCAACTGAGAAGGGTACCTACAAGTATCAATATCATCTTATGAAATTTATATGATCTTATTTTTATATTAATCTCAGTTATGACATTTTTCCATAAATGAAATATCAAAATTAATAATAAAATGAATGCAAATACAAATAACACAGTATGTAACAAATGTACATAAAATTATAGTATTTTATGTACACTATGTAAAATACTATAATTTTATGTACACTTCTGATAAAATTTCAGAAGAAAGGTACCTATAAATTAATTAGATATCTTTCTTATAAAATATGAAATTTAATCTCACTCTCAACAGTCTTATTTTAATTTCTTTATAATATATTTTCCATAAAGCATCGTAAAGGTTAAAGCTAAGTACAAAAAACAAAAAAAAAATTATTAGAGTGCTGAAAGTTTTCCTTAAAAATAACGAGGTAAATAATTTGTTCACTTAAATGTAAATAATTTCACTTTTCTCCTTCCGTAGAACAAATTATCCTCACAGAATCCGTCAATGTCATTCATCACCTGTCAAGTGACGCAAAAGTTTATGACCTGCTTTGTTTTATTTTCAAATTACATCTTTTCAGTGAAGAAGCTAAGTTAAGTTTGGTTCAAAATATTTTAAATAAACATTATAATTTCTGATTTTCTTAAAATAAGTTTTGAAAAAATGATTATTGATATTTAAAAGAATTTCAAAGGGAGATTTTCAGTTTTTTTATAAAATGGAAAAAAATGGTCATTTTTGCTGACTCAAAAAAAAACAAGATTTTTAACAAAAATTTTGGACATGGTAGGAACGATTAAAAAAAATGTAAAATAATGCCCCCAAAATACTTTGATCTTTCCTCTTAATAATAACATAAACATTTAGATGATAAAATTTTGTTTTTGTCAAGTTTGGCGTCTTTTTCTTCATGCTATACTCTTTTTTTAGCGATCTCGTGGAGGTACCTATATTAGTAGAAACTTTGTGGCGTGAATGCTAATATGTGAAATCTGATGAACATAGAGTTGGATGATCAGACTTACTTATTTTTTTTCACGGCTATGAATATTTCTTTGATTTGTGTGAATATCCCTTTGAATGGTGTGTAGTTGTCGCTGACTGAGGTGTTGTTATAGTAACGAGAGAATTCTGGTTGAGTGTTTCTAGGTACCTCCAGTAATTCAGTATAAATTTTCAATCTAAGGTTTAAAATTAATTTTTAAAAATGAAAAAGCATTCTTGAAGATTTCATTTTAGCTTTAATTGAAAGCTAAAAATGATTAAATTCATTATTCCCAGTTAGTAAAATATTTTGGTGTATTTCAAATAAAGATTATATAGATCGGAATCAAACTTTTTGGCCGATTTAAGAAAATTTTCTTAAAAGGGGCCATTTTCTTAATTTTAAGAAATTTGTAGACAAAATTATCGGTTTTAAAAATCTTCCAAAAATAAAATATATATTTTTGACACATTATTTGAGTTAAAATAGCAAATTTAAAGTTAAATTAATCTGATTTGAAATAAACATTACTTACATTTAGCATAAAAAATTAATATACAAGCATTTCTTAACGACGGGTCAAGTTTTTCTTTCATCTTTATTGACATATTGATAAGTTCTAAGGTGATGACAGCTAGTATGGATGAACAGAATTTACATAAATTTACGAAATTTAAGTGAACCCATGTTTTTTTTTTTTTTTTTATTTTTAACTACCTAGTAATTTTTACAAATTAACATATTTTCAGCAATTATCTAATAATTTATTGACTTTTATTTACATTTCAAAGATGCTTTATGAAAAAAATTTAAATACTATAAAAAATTTTCTTAAATTAATTTTAAAATTTAATAACAGATGAAATGGAAATACCATGATAGAGGTAACTTAATAATTTAAAGATGATTTCCGAAGCCTGTAGAAATGTAGGGATGTTGAAACAGTAGTAAAATGAAAGAATCACCCACAGACAATTTATATTAAGCTTTTCAATTTTCACTTAGTAAATATAGTTTTCATTTAATGTAATAAGCTAACTGTATTGGTGTTTAGAAGAATTTTAAAACATTTTTGAAATTTTATAATTAAAAGAAGAAAAATGCAAACAATTCTTGTAAAAATTCATTATTCATTGAAACTTTTTTCTTCAGACTATAATGTCCTTAATATATATTATTTATAGGAGCAATTAAAAGCTTATCAAATTAAATAATTAGATAGTTTTATTGCAGTTTTTATTTTATGATTTGGAGCATATTTTAGAAAAGTTGGTAGCAGTTAGGAAAAAAAAAAGTTGATGATTTACATTCTCCAAGGGGTCCTGCTTTTAATTAATATAAAACCTTTCAATGGTTGCTTTTAAATTCTAGAAAATTTTATGAAATTAATTAGGTGGGGAGTTAACAGATGTAAAAGAAAAATATTTTTACCAAAATTTTCTAAAAATAATAATATTTTCAAAAATAAATTCATTCATTTGTGAATAAGTTCTAAAAGTTGAATTAAAATCTGATAATTATTTAACTTTTGCGATAATTTCAAAATTAATGTGTTTTTCTTTCTGCTGTTTTTCCATGGAAAAAGTGGAGGTATCTAGTGTTTACAGATCCATCCGCCTGTCATCAACGGGTGAT